CGCTATGAGTCGGGTCTGACTCGACAGCACCTAACAACAACGACAACACTGTAACACAAATAACAAAAGTGGGTGGCTTTATTTATTTTTTTAAAACTTTTAATTGTGATTTGAGTGAAAGTTTTCAGAGTACATTCCTTTTCTATTCAACAATTCATACACATTTTGTTTCATGACATTGATTACAATCCCCACAATGTAACAGCACTCTTCCAACTTCCTCCCTGTGTCTACTAGTTCCATTTGTCCTTCCTTCCTATACCTTCCTGCCTTCTGAGCTTTATCCCTGGGTAAATGCTGCCCCTTTGATCTCATAGAGTTGATTTTCTAATAAGGTGGCATTACTGTTCACCTTATAAAACCACTCACTGCCATTGAGTTGATCCAACTCATAGTGACTCCCATTGGGTTTCTGAGGCTGTAAATCTTTACAGAAGTAGATCATGCTATCTTTCTTTGGAGTGGTTGGTGGATTTGAGCCATTGATCTTCTGGTTAGCAGCCAAATGCCTGATGTAGTATACCACCAGAGCTTGCCTGTCTATTTTTTGGCTGAAATTTGAGCTAGGAGGATGAGTTCAGTTCCATACTTGAAGGGTGGCTAAGGGATATATATAGTTTCAGGGATTCCACCAATCTCTGTCAGACAAGTAAGCCTGGCCTTTTTTATGATGTTGAGTGTTCTACATTTTTCTCCCATTCTATCCAGGATTTTCTGATATCCCTTTCAGAGTGGTTGGTAGTATAGCCGGGCACCATCTAGTTCTTCTGTTTTCAGGGTTGAGATTCTTTGGACTATTTGTTTCCATGTGTCTTTGATTTTCTTCACTCTTCTTTGCTTCAGATGAGGGGAGACTAACAGGTGCACTTAGATGGTTATTCACCAGCTTGAAGACCCCAGTTGCTACTCACCAAAATAGGATGTAGAACATTGTCTTTGTGAACTACGTTATACCAATTGACTTAGCTGTCCCCCAAGACTGTAGTCCTAAGCCCAAATTAGGTGGCTTTAAGGAACAGAAATTTATTTTTGTCACAGTTCTGGAGGCTAAAAGGCTAAGTCAGAGTCTCAGCCATGTCAGTTACTTCCTTTTTAGGTGCCATGAGCTTTCCTTGGTGCCTTAACATTCTTTTTCTTATGGACAGTCTTCACATGGCATCTGTCTTCCTTCATGGATGTGTCTCCGTGCCTACTCTGGTCTTTTTATAAGTCAGAAATCATTAGGTTTAGGATCGACCCTGCACTGGTGTGACGTTATTACTATAAAAAAGGAAAAACCTCATTTCCAAGCAAGATCACAGGCATAGGTACACAGGCCAGGAATTCAACACATTTTGGGGAAACACAATTCAGTCTATAACAGGGTTGTTTTAATCCTTTGGCTGTGATGAATAATGCTGCTATAAACATTTGTGTACAAGTTTTTGTGTGGACATATGTTTAGTTTCTCTTGAGTGTATACCTGGAAGTGGAATTGCTGACTCATACTAACTTTAATTGTCTGAGGATCTGCCAGACTATTTTCCAAAATGGCTACACCACTTTATATTCCCACCAATGTTAGAGGGTTCCAATTTCTTCACATCCCCACCAACACTTGTTACTCTCTAACTTTATTATTATAGCCATACTGTTGAACATTTGACACACCTACTGAAAGAGAGGCCAGGACCTGAGATAGGCAGGATGGGGGCTTAAAGGCTGCTTTTCTCTCGGGTGTAGATCTATATTAAGACCAGGGCGTGAGGTAGGGAGGCTGGGGGTTTAGAGGCTGCTTTTTGCTTGGTTGTGGCTCTTTATTAAGGCCAGGGACTGAGGTAGGTGGGTCTGGGGCTTGGAGGCTGTTTTTCACTTGGGTGTGGCTCTATATTAAGGCCAGGGCCTAAGGTAGGCAGGCCAGGGGTTTGGAGGCTGCTTTTTGCTTGGTTGTGGCTCTATATTAAGACCAGGGCCTGAGGTAGGCAGGTGCAGAAAGGTGAGGAACAACTAAGGGAGACAAACTTGTGTGTCAGTTTATCATCCTGTGGTGGCTTACATGTTGCTGTAAGGGTGGAGGCTATGGAACCATGTTGCAAATTGTCAGCAGAGTTACCCATGATGGAGAGGTTTTACCAGAGCTTCCAGGCTTAAGTTGACTCAGAAGAAGGAAGAGGCCATCAACTTCTCAAAGAATTTTCCAGTGAAAATCTTATGAATAGCAGTGAAACACTGTCTGATATATTACTGGAAAACTTTATGAACCCTGAAATATTGTCCGATGTAGTGCTGGAAGATGAGCTTATCAGGTCAGAAAGCACGCAAAATTTGACTGAGGAAGAGCTGACTCCTTAGAGTAGAGATGACCTTAATGATATGAATAAAGTAAAGCTATCAAGACCTCCATTGGCTGATGTGACATGACTCAAAATGAGCAGAAATAGATGCAAACATCCATTAATAATTGGAACTTGGAATGTATGAAGTATGAATCTAGGAAAATTGGAAGTTGTCAAAAATGAAATGGAACTCATAAAGATTGATATCCTAGGCATTCGTGAGCTTAAATGGACTGGTTTTGGCCATTTTGAATTAGACAGCCATATGATCTACTATGCCAGGAATGACAAATTGAAGAGGAATGGTGTAGCATTCATCATTACAAAGACTGTTTCAAGATCTGTCCTGAAGTAGAATGCTATCAGTGATAGGATAATATCCATACCCC